ATAAACACTATATTGTTATTAGAATAGTATATCTTAACATCTGACAGTTTTACTATGTCGTTAACCGTTTCAAGAGAAAGTGGGTATGGAAAATCTGTTCCTATAGGTAGGGACAGTCTAATATCTTGGAACTGAGCTAACAAATCCGTCGGTCCTAACAGGTATGGGTGGATTTGCCCTAGTTTTGATGCCTCAATAATGGATAGTAAAATGTCAGTTTCCGCCATATATTTTGTAAATAACAAGTTCATGTAACCAAAATGTCTGAAGACAAAGTTATTAATTTGTTGTTCCATCGTTATGTTTTTCTCTAATACCGTAAACTCGAAATCAATAACGATAAATTTGTGAGTGTTGTCCCTACAACACGAAAAAAAACATTTACTTAGTAAAATAATAATAATATTGATAATAATGAAAACAAATTAATAATAATAATCGTAACTATTTACTAATCATCATAGCTATATGTATAATATATTATATATAAATATATATATATACACATAGTCATTCATTGAATGGTTTAATATTGTTTATGTGTATGCGATAATCGCGCCGGCCTTTCTTAATAGTTATGTTTTCATTATCATGAACCATTATAACCTCGTACGGCCCTGACCAATTAAGACATAATGTATTTTTTTTATGTTGTTCTTTTATTAGTACTTTATCACCTACGTGTACATCTACCGGATTCATAGTCTTATCGTAATTACGTTTATTTGATTCTTTTTTGTTAATTAAATTGTTTCGCGCGATCTCATGGGCTTGTTGCATATTACGTTTTAGATCGAAAACATAATGGTCATAGTTATATTGTGGTTCGACTTTTCTCGATAATATTGCCGGAATAGTAGGTTTATGTCCAAAATCAAGTTCGTAAGGAGTGTAATTAGTTGATGTATGAATTGTACTGTTATAGCAGTACATAGCATAACAAAGCAACTGGTCCCATTCATTATCTTTGTCGACAAAACTACGTAGATAAGTTTTTAACGTCTTGTGTGATCGCTCTAAAAATCCATTTGTTTGTGGGTGAAAAGGAGTGGTCTGAGATTTTTTCAATATCAAGTAATTTACACATTTGTTTAAAAACGTCGGATAAGAAATTCGTTCCACAGTCCGTTAGTATAGATTTCGGTATTCCGTATACACACACGAAACATTCCACAAACGCTTGGGCTACGGTTTGCGCGTCAGTGGCACTTAGTGCTACTGCTAGGGCGTAACGCGTAAGTTCGTCTTGCATAGTCAAAATGAACTGATTACCCAAACTAGTTTGTGGTAAAGGTCCTACTATATCTAAACAGATACGTTCAAACGATTTGGTAACAGTAGTTGTAATTATCATAGGTTGTTTGGTCTTTAAGTTACTTTTGGTTTTCTGGCATATTTCGCATCGCGCTATGTATTGTTTGACGTTTTTTTTTTAAATTTTTCCATTGATAATTTGCTTTTAACCGTTTAACTGTTCTGGAGACCCCGGAATGTCCCCCCAAAGGTGAATTGTGATATTCGTAAATAATTTGCTGTTTTTCGGTTTCGGAGAAATTTTGCTCCTTATAAATATGAACGGTTATGTTTGTCCCTTTAAAAATGAATCTAATCATGGATCGGGTTCGTTCGAAACTAGTCATGGTAGTTACCCCCTCTAGTCTAATGGTCGCACATGTTTCAATGTTATTTTTTATACAGGCTTGTTTCATTGCGTTGAATGCGTTAAAAATCTGTTGTTCTGTTAAAACAGCAGTATGTGTTTCTTTTAATTTGTAAAAAATAATAGTACGTGTTAAATGGTGAATTACCGTAAGGTTTTCGTTCTCGTTAAATGTGGGAAGGTCAATGTTAAATTTCTCTATGATTTTCCTAATCGCCGGATGAATAATTATCATATCATTTGAAATTGGTAAGAACAAATTATTTCGCTCGTCGGCGTCTTTAATACTACCGTCTATATCGATTACTTTAGTGTTAAATATAGGTTTTGTTTCTGCTATAAGAAAATCATCGTATTCAAGGTTAGGCAAGTCGGCAGTTCGTAATACGTGTATTCGTGATAGACAGTCGGCGTTCGCGTTTTCGTGATAAGGTTCCCAATTAATGTTTCGTGAAGTCAATTCTTCGATAAGATATGGTTGTTCCGATATATTTATTACGTTACTAATTAATACATTTTCGTTTACCGGACTAACACTGTTTGCGATTATTACGTCGTCATTTAGATCTTGTTTCGCTATAGTTATTTCTTTATGTTGGATATTTTCTGTATTTTTAATTAGCATGACACAGTTACTTCGCGGCGGTATTATTAATGATTGATTACATTCGCGTTCGGGTATTAATAAAAGTTCCTGATTCATGTCTAAGATCGCTTTATTTTCTTTAAGAAAAGTACGGCCAATTATGCCACTCCCGGGTATCGGAAAGTCGTCTTTTACAATGTCAAATTTAGTAATGAAAGTTTCGTCTTTAATTTGAATAGGAATTACAATTGAGCCTAACGTTTTGATAGTTATAGCGTTAATACCCTTGATATTTTTCTTATCGGTCTCATTTACGATTACATGGTCCATTAGAGCTGATAACTTAATTATGTTCATCTCTGCCCCTGAGTCTATTAAAAAACGTTGATTACCTGCTGCGAAATTGCTTGCGTTAATAATAATGTGTTCCTCGTCCATTTGTGTAGTTATTACTCGAACATTTTTTAATTCGCCTACCGTTTTATTTTGGTTATCGCCCTGCTCTTGTTGTTGTTTTTTCTTATTTTCATTATAGATTCGCTTCCGACATTCGGTGATATCGTGATTAGGACGTTTACAATACTTGCAAAATTTTACGTGGCTTTCCCGCTCCGTTTTAATCTCCGTGCGATAGTTTATCGGATTCCTGAAATTCGATGAGCCTGATGCCCCTGACCTACATTCGTTAGCATAATGCCCCATTTTACTACACTTGTTACATTTGATATGCGCTTTATTAGAAGTACGCGGGTTATTATTAAATGGACGATTATTTTTCTGAATATCATTTTTCCCGCATACGTTTTCTTTTTCGGTGGCAATTCGCACTGCCTCCTCATAAGATGAAATATTGCGCGCTTCCAGAATAAGGCGTATTGAAGGATTAATGCCTTCCATAAATACAACAAGTGCGGTGGTTAGCATGGTCTCGGCTATTGTTCGCGATTCGGTTACGGTTTTGCCTATGGTTAGAGCGCTTGTAAGTTGATGATAAATTTGTTGTATGCGATTAGAGAAATTCTGTATACTTTCGTCATGGCGTTGTTTCATACTCGTTAATTGTTTCTGAAGATAGTTAATGGAATGAGAAGTTTGGTATATTGTTTTAAGGTGATTCTTTAATTGATCCCAAGTTTCAAATTCATGGTATTTAATGTATTCGTGAGCGTTCCCCTCTATGTTAGTTATTATAGCACGTAACAACTGCGGTTTAATAGTGTCGGTTACATTGGAAAAAAGGAACTCACATTTTGTTATAAAAATGGAAAGTTGACTATCAGTACCCCCCGAGAAAGAAGGTGCCTGCCTAATGACGGTTTCGAGTCCCAAAGTTGTGGCGGCCATAGTTATACGTAAATTATTAGGATTATATGCGACTATTTGCCAATTATTGCGTGGACTGTCAGACATAAAAATATACTATACAATAATAACTTACAAAGCTTGCATAGTTAAAAAAAATGGTCTGGTCCGAAATTGAAAATTGGATGCTCCGTGGAATGCTCTGTGGAATGCTCTGTGGAAATGCTCTGTGGAATGCTCTGTAGAATGCTCTGTGGAAATGCTCTGTGGAATGCTCTGTGGAATGCTCTGTAGAATGCTCTGTGGAATGCTCTGTGACTGCAAAAATGGATGTACGAAGTGGCTCGACGATCTAGCTACGAAACTGCTGGCGCGTAGACCAATTAGTAAATAATTGGGTTTCGTAGTGTCCCAAGAACGGGTTGTCGAAGTTCGTCAGTGAGTTCCCGAGTTACTTTTTTGATGAATCAAAATTTTTTACTCAGAGAAACCCCACACCTGACACCAAAAGTTACGTATGTAGTACTCTCGTACTACACTTGTACACTTAATTATTTAATGACGTGCTTCGACGTTTCGTTGTTGAGCTTGAGTGACGATGAGGTTGCACTTAGAAATGAATAAGTATATATTCACAGTATTAATGTTTATTATGTTTAACAAAGTTACAGACTATAACAGTTTATAATTGTAGAAATTTGTGGGCAGAGGTTACGCTCGGTACCCGAGAACTATGTGCAGTTAAGCTAAAGTAAAATAATTCTAACTTAGTGACTACTTAGTTGCTATATTTATATAAATGTATGCCCGTGGCGTGATCTCTAGGGAGCCACGGGATTGGCTTACATGCTTAGAAGTGTTTTACGTAATCAATAAAAAAAACAAGTTAATCACGCAGTTTCCATAAATATGAAATTCGCAATAACAGTCAAAAGTACAAGGTACAAGGATTTACTCTGCGTCATGGACAAGTTACCTATTTATACATAATTAAAGTAAACCGTGCGTTTACGTAATACGGTTTACTACACTTTGATACTTTAGAGTTACATCATACACTTACGTACCAACACACCTGGGTCTGCGATCTACCGCAGGTAGATTGCCTACCTGATATATAATACTGCTGCGAATCAGAATTTTTATTCCAGGCAACAGAATAGTTAAGATAAATTTTGAATGCCATACACCGAATTTTATATATATTAAATTTTATTATATAATTTTATTATATATATATTAAATAACGAATTGAACAAAGTTTGAGTCATATAGAGTTGGTACATTTAACGGGGCAACGAAGTGCACGGGTTCAGCTAGTATATTATAATTAATTCGTTAATCCGTTATCCAATCGCGATTATTGGAAAATGGATATTAATTATTATACTGTTGTCTGTTACTATTATTATGGTACTGTCTTTAACATTTTCTTTAGTTTGCATTTTCCGACTAGAAATTGTCGACTTGATTTCTTACCACGGATTTCTTTGAAAGGTAAAACGGTGATCTTATTGTACCATGAGACATCATAATGACAGTGATGTTCACCAAAAAAACTGAGTACGAGAGTCTTCCCAAGACCACAACAAGTCTATTGTTAAATACGTATGTAAAGGGACCTGTAAAATAATGCAGAGTTAGAAAAATGTATTATTACCTATACCTATCAGTTATAAACTATAATTATGAATAATTTACAATTGTACAATAATACAATATTATGTAGGTACCTACGCAGTACGCACCATCCGAAGTTAATTCGTTCTAGATTTAACTGTAGTTTTTATATGTTTCATATAATTATTATAATCATCACTCAATGGTCACGCCGAATTTATACCTGATTATCAATATTTATTTCCCGATCACGATGTAGAGAAGATATAATATTATATGTATGGCATGTAATATACAGTGGTGGCTCCAGAGGCATGGTTAGGGGGGTAGGTCATCATTTTCAGAAAATGTCGATGATTTTTTTTTGTAATTTTGTTTTCAACAGTATAAAATTGTTTAGAAATACAGCTTTGGGAGGGCCTAGCCCCCCACCCCTAGACTAATATATAAGATAGATAGTCATTAATCATTATGTAATTTTTATAATGTATATACTATATTATGTACTATGTAAGAAATATTTCTATAACTTTTTTGAATTTTATTTTTCACTCAACACCAGGGACTGGAACCGAACCGAAAAGAACCAGCTCTGGAACAAAAAACACCCTTAAAATATTGAGAACCAGAACCTAACCAGAACCGGAACCGGATCCCATATTTTTAAATTAAAATATCTTAATGTACCTAGGTATATAAAACATTTAATTTGAAGATACTAAAGAATAAATAAAATATATATATTTTTGTAATCGTTTAATATTGGTTTTAACTAGAAACTTAACTTTAACTAATTTTCCAAAACCAGAACCGGAACCAGAAACCTTAAATAAAAATTTTCATAAGCCAGAACCTCTTAATAAAATAAATTTAAATAATTAAGTACTGGAACCAGAACCGTAAAAACTAAAAGGTACCAGTCCCTGGTCAACTAACTAGTGGTCTTTATACTGCACTTCCTATTAATATTTTGTATTATAATTTGTTTTTTTTTCTTCATCGTTCATTAATATGAAATATTTCAAAAAAATTAATTTCATGAAATTTTGGAACCCAAATAATATCTAATGTAGTTTTAAGATGAGACAATACTGCGTCGACTATTATACTTTTAGGTCCTATGGATTTTCTATAATTTTCGATACAAGTTTGTGAGAAATTAATTTTGAACTTAATACTTTTTAAAAGCATTTTCCTTTACGCTGTAGAATCTACAGCCGTGGGTTGCTGAACCCTGCTGTAGATGTATGTTACATAGCTCTGAGTGGCTGTGGGACTATTTTTAATTTTATGCAGTCGACATTCGGTATACAGTATACTACTATATACTACTATAAATTACAAGTAATAACAATGTAGTTATATACTATAATTATTCAATCTTAATAAATGACTATCCAACGATTTTGATGTGGTTAATATATTAATCGTTAATGTGCCCATTACCTACCTATTTTTGCACATTAAGTACCTGTTATATTAATGAAACATGTCATAAAATTCCTAAAGCCGAGTTCAAAGCTTCGTCATCTGTCGTGTCGTGTGCGTTTTATCGTATTTCGACTAGCCATAACAATCATTGAATCATGGTAGGTATCAGTCAGTAGTCATGATCTACCAAGTTATTTTAAAGGTTTAATAGATCTCAACTTAGATAACAACTTACTAACGTGTATCCGGACATTTTCCCCTGGTTGTTTTCAGTGTAGTAGGACATTTCCCCCTCCCCCGATACATTTTTGATGCGGACATTTTAATTATTTACTTTCGAATATAAAATTATTATTTTTGCCATCTGTATTATACTATATTATATTATTTGGACAATTTTTTATTTAATAATATATTTTTACTTAACTTGTTTTAAATATTATTTGTTATTTTTTTATTGAAATTAAGATTAAATAATTTTTAGTTAACGTACAGTTTTTATAAAAATAAAAAAAAATAAATATGAACAAAAGCTAAAAAAATATGTGTTATAAATAATAATTTTATATTCGAAGGTAAATAATTGAAAATAAAAAAAAACAAAAAAAACGGGGGGGGAAATGTCCTACTACGCCGAAAACAACCGGAGGGAAAATGTCCGGGGGTAAAATGTCCACCATTCACAATTCATACACGTTTTAAAGGATAAGTTGCACCCCCCCCCCTACTTTGGCCTGTTAAAATAAGACACGAAAATGGTTAGTAATTATATACTATTAGATATTATTATGATTATTATGATTATTATTATTATTACAATATTACCAATTAAATTTTAATAAATGACTAGGTAACGATTTTCATGTTTTAACTAACAGAATCACGAGTAGGTAGGTACCTATGTACAAAAGTCAATGTAGTTTGTTCACTAACGATTAATGTGACCATTACCCATGTTTGTACATTACTTGTAACAATTTTAAAATATATCTTAAATTCATAAACTGCTTAAAAACTATTATTATAATGCAATTTATATTACCATATCCAGTCGTTAACAAGCAAATGGAACACCACATGCTCCATACCGACCACGTACAATGATCGACGACTGAGAACAAAGCATGTTCCAACGGATAATAAGGTCTATGTTGAGAGTAAAATTTGATACTATAAAGCTGAGTATACAGACAAATTATGGAAATAATGAATGTTCCACTATAGACAATGAACTATACACGAAAATAATTAAATTAATTTTTTAATTTATACATTTAATATGAGCGCTTGTATATAGTAAATTTACTCACATGTGAAAATTTCACTTTTTTTTCTTTCAATTTTTCAACGATAATGCTGGTGGCTAAACCAGCAAAGAAAGGCGTGGCTCGCATGTAACTTAATCTGTACGACTTATTTACATCCAAGACAGTTCTTATGCTTCCTCTAAAAAAAGTTTTACTTTTAACTGATTCAATAATTCCTAATTCCTATATATAATAATATTATATAGATAAGACCAAAATATAATATGATAATTTCTAACTCTTAGTATACTGGGTGATTCTTTTATCAAACAACACTCATTATTTCAAAAAGTGTAAATTTTTTTGAAGATATTTTTTTACATAGTTTCAAATCACTTATAAAACAACGTTTATATTAAAAAATTATTTTTTTAATTATTTTTTATCCTTATAATTTTTTAAGTTTTTTACTTTTTTGAATGACAACTTAGGGTTTTAATCTTATATTCTAAAGTAGAATATTTTTCTTAGTATTTTGATACATGAAAATTGAATTTGGGGCGAGTAGTTTATGAGTTATAAGTATTTAAAGTTTAGACGAGCGGTGAAGTGGACAAACATTTCGCGGGGTAACCCCGAACCACTCCACTCCGCTTGTCTAAACTTTAAATACTTATAACTCATAAACTACTCGCCCCAAATTCAATTTTCATGTATCAAAATACTAAGAAAATTATTCTACTTTAGAATATAAAATTAAAACCCTATGTTGTCATTCAAAAAAGTAAAAAACTTAAAAAATTATAAGGATAAAAAATATTTAAAAATATAATTTTTTAATAAAAACGTTGTTTTATAAGCGACTTGAAACTATGTAAAAAAATATCTTTAAAAAAATTTACACTTTTTGAAATAATGAGTGTTGTTTGATAAAAGAATCACCCGGTATTGTAATACCTAAATCAATTGAAATCATCTATTGTCATCTATTGTCTACGACAACGTCTTAATCAGGAATTGTGGTTTATAAGTATTAAGTATGGCCATATATAGGTCTAAAATATTCCCACAATAAAAGAAAATAGTTATCTTCAATTTCTGAATATTTTTTTTTATATTTAAGTTCATATACGATACGCCTAAGTACTGTTAAAGTTATTTAACCATTTGAGTTTACTATTTCATAGGGAATTGAGTACCTACCTTAATATTTAATAATAATTATTAATTTGACTTACAGAAGATGAAATAAGCATATTCCGATTCTTTTCGTCATAAACGTGACCAGAAACGGAACGGATAAAGACAAAGCCAGTACCATACAGAGTAATCTAATCCCGTATTTGGAGTTTCTCATGTAAACGTACACAATTATTACTCCAACTACGAAAAACTGAACATCACAAGACACGTAGTAGTTCACTATGAGGCACTGTAATATTATTAAAAATACGAGTGGGTATAATAATTATACATCGCTATATATATTGTATTATACACATGGTAAATATTCACTAGGAATAGTGGAATTTCACAAGGTGTAAATCTTACAGGAGGTAGATTATCTTTAGTGGTATTTTACCAGGAGTATGATTATATTTACAATTACTGGTGACATTATAACAAGGGGTTTAAAATATTATATCGGTGATTCACTGATGATTATTTTATACCCCCGGTAAATATTCGATAGATACATTTTACCCTTATTAAAATTTCACTAGGGATATTCCACCCCACAGGAGAAATTTACCTCCAGTACAATTTAGGTAGTCAATATTTACCCCTGTTAACTGGGTAAAAATACACAGTTTCGCCTTTATATTATAGGTAGGTAAGTGACAATAAACAAGGCTAGTTTTAGTCAATAATATTATAATTATCAATTAAAGAAAAATAATATATTATGGTGAAGTCTTACTCCGTATTTGGTTTCAAGAAAATTGTTTATGAACAACAAATTGGTCCACCAATCATTTTTGCAAATTTCAGCTTCTTCCCATACTATCTTTGGCCACAGCGGTCCATCCCCATGGTGAGGTACGATGTGTGCCGTGATCGCCATCATTGCGCAGTATGACGGTAACATTCTACAAGTCGATTCAACAGTAAATTATTATTATTATACAATAATTGTACATAGACTTTGGGAAAAAAATAAATCGCTATTAGCAATGAAATATTTTGACAACAATAAATTTGCGATGAACTAAAAGAGGGTGCCACTAATTTCACTCAATACCCCCCCCCCCCCTGAAAAAACTTGTGGTGTAGAAATAAGGTGATAAATGATTTCTCACAGACGCAAACATTAGTCTGCTCTGAAAAATTATGCAATAATATTTTATGCACTATTAAAGTATTAAATGCGTCGTTCTAACTCACCTGGACACTCGGTGGAAAATTGGCGATATGATTTTTTTGATTCCTATTTCAGCTTTTTTAGATGACCGAGAAATGTTCAGATACATGATGAAACCGCTAATGAAAAAAAATGGGTCGACCACGTTCGTAAGAGTCAATACAATATCAGGACCATTGTGATATACCTGTAATTGTTGCAGAGATTAATATTATGACTTGTACCTTATTACTAATTTAATTTTGATTTTGAGCAGAGCGATGAATATATTGATTTTACAATACTGGGTGATTCTTTTATCAAACAACACTCATTATTTCAAAAAGTGTAAATTTTTTTGAAGAATTTTTTTACATAGTTTCAAGTCGCTTATAAAACAACTTTTTTATTAAAAAATTATTTTTTTAATTATTTTTTATCCTTATAATTTTTTAAGTTTTTTACTTTTTTGAATGACAACATAGGGTTTTAATTTTATATTCTAAAGTAGAATATTTTTCTTAGTATTTTGATACGTGAAAATTGAATTTGGGGCTAGTAGTTTATGAGTTATAAGTATTTAAAGTTTAGACGAGCGGTGAAGTGGACAAACATTTCGCGGGGTAACCCCGAACCCTCCACTCCGCTCGTCTAAACTTTAAATACTTATAACTCATAAACTACTCAACCCAAATTCGATTTTCATGTATCAAAATACTAAGAAAAATATTCTGCTTTGGAACATAAAATTAAAACCCTATGTTGTTATTCAAAAAAGTAAAAAACTTAAAAAATTATAAGGATAAAAAATATTTAAAAATATAATTTTTTAATAAAAACGTTGTTTTATAAGCGACTTGAAACTATGTAAAAAAATATTTTCAAAAAAATTTACACTTTTTGAAATAATGAGTGTTGTTTGATAAAAGAATCACCCAGTATATGTGTGATTTTCTTTGTATGTATAGGTACATGATATAAGTAGTTGAAATAATGCTTTGATTTAAGAACGTAAGGGTGGTTTCTGATAGAAAATTAAATTTAGTTGGTAATATTGCGAGGTTAAAATTTAAAATTGACCAATATGCAACTATGTGTGGTTTTTGAACACCTTTTAGAACAGTAAAAAAGCTTAGATCTTCGACTTCAACTTTATCTTTCACTTTGTTTTCTGGTAGGAAAGTAAATCTAGTTGGAACTTTGTGGAAGGGGGGGGGGGGTCAAAATTAAATAACTCTTAGTACCAAACTACCAACTAATCTTAATAATTGGAGAAAAAAATAAAACTTTCTTACACAAAATCAGTTTTTGACAAAATGTATTTTCTTAATTTGTTGAAATTTAGAAACGAATAACCGTGTATACTATCTAGATATCTAGATATCTATAGATATTTTCAATGAATATTTATATTAGAACTTTCTATATAGAAGGCATGACTGTATAAATAAATTATTGTCAGTAAGAAAATGTTCAAAAATAACTTTATAATGTAATACAAGGTTCCATACTGTATAAGATTGTTTTAATGAAATTTAATAATAAAAATATTTCGCCTAAAGCCACACGTACATTTTTATAAGTGATTGAATTGAATTTAAAATTTTATATTCCGAAGAAAGCGATGGATGTATTGATTATATTATTATACAATGTAAATATGGTTTTTTTATTTTGTGTATATTATACCTACATGATAAGTTTTGTTGAAATTATGCTTTGATTTGTAACTTGAAGGGAGTTTTTTGATAGAAAATTTAATTTAGTTGGTACTTTTGACGGGTCAAAACTGATAAATCCCCATGTAATTTTCTTATTTCTAATAATTTTTTAGTAATCTAGTTTCGAAAATATTTGCTTGGCTTACAGTTTCCACGCGTTTAGGGTTAATCATTGGATTATCATATAAATGCGATAATCTGTGGATCAACATAACGAATAGCATCATTAGCACTTTAAAACCGTAGATTGAATTCAGTTCATTGTTCTTATCGAATTTTAACAACGCTTTGCTTGAATTAATAAATGAAAATGTATCGCAAAATGAACCGAAACTTTCACCTGTAGATAGTAATGAAAAATATATTACAATACACATCGATGTAATGCTCATGGATTTTGTGACGTTTAGGTACAGACACAGATTATAGGTACAAATATAAAATAATGATTTCCATGAAACCTTTATCACTCACCGGTGGTTTGTTTTGGATTTCTATTGTATGATATTCTTATGTAATGATACAACGTTGTGCCGCAACAAATCAAAACAAGCGTTAAAAAAAACATCCTGAAAGAACATTATAATAGGTAATGAACGGACGAATGACTATGAGTATAATATTTCAATACAAATTGTATAACAATTAACAAAAGTAATAATAATATCAAATGACCTGGTCACGTAGTACGATGTGTTGTAGGGATACATATCTCCTTTGACAGTGCACATTATCGGATCCACTTTGACAACGGCCTTGATCTCTTCTGGAGTGAACACCTTATCCAGTTCGTTTTGCAATGAACTTTGCAGGTCTGACGCCGAACATGAATACGGAATGCATATTCCTAAATTCAAGCTGTTTCGTTTCACTTTGTCCGGATAATCATCCCACTGAAACGGTTAAATACCCAGTAGGTAAGTAATACCTAATAGCATTGATTCTAAATACTAGTATTGTAATAGTACCAAATATTAGTATGTTTGCCTAGTTTATAAGTACCTATAGTAATAGTGTGTTTAAGAAATAAGATTAATATTATACAGGTGGTGTTTATGGTCCTTAATAATAACTTATTTTCTAAGATAATTACTATCATAATAATTATATTAGGACACCACAATTTTTCAAAATCAAAAGTATTATTTTTAGTCTATGTACCTACCATAACTCAAAATAAAAATAATTAAGTAATTTTACTCATGTTCAGTAACTATTTTGCTCAACTTTTTAGTATTCAGAACCTGTAAACATTTTTATACGTACACCAAATAATATTATCTATTATTATGATCTATACTTTGTTTTTAACGTTTATTGTAATAATGGCTATGACTACCACCTTACTAGAACCTACTTAGAACAGCAATTTCTTTAGAAACAATTGAAAGGCCAAGCAGTACCTATATTATGTAGGGAGACGTAGGGTTTATATAATATTATTAATGTATCATTTTTGTGTTTATAACGGTACTTTTATTTTTGAAAAAATCAAGGAGTATACACACTGCATGTACATCATCGGTATATGGTATGTCCTGTAAATGTAATACAGTAGAATCCAATTAATTGGGACACATCGGGCGGTGACCTATTTGTCCCCATTATCCCAACTGTCCCGATCAAACGAAGCATTGTACATACAATACATTCTTTCAAGACTGACATTAAGCAAGTGTCCTCTCTCTTTAAGTGACGTCCCCTTTAAGCGGATTTTACTGTATTATTGTCTCTACGCTCAGAACCAAAAAACGTATAATGAGGTTGTTATGGTAGCCTGATATTAAATCAGGGGTATGAAACTCCGTGAATTGGCAATTGTGGCCTTGAACAAGGTTTCCAGGGGGGCGTGGCATACGTGAAATAGGGAATAGTAAACAAGCCGACCCCGAGTAGCGTATCCCGCCCATGTTTCGGGAAATGTTTACATAAACAGGAGACCTTGGGTGTAACATGATGTTGGTGCACAGAAACGTTTCAATGTTTTTCGGACTTCAGATCATAGGGAAACAAAACCCCAATCAGCTGATCGATTTTCGCTTCTAAATTGTTCTATGATTAAATTAAACATAAGTTGCTAGGGACAACCTAGGGACTTGATATCATTCATTACATCATTGTTATTGTTTGGTAGTCATGGCAACTGTAATCGGTCAGAAAAATTAAATAATATTTTAGGTACCCAGAATCAACACGATGACATCACGGTAAACCTCTCCGTGTAGCACAAAATTATAGAATGACCCCCCAGAATCCAGATATATATATGGTTTGTATATTACATAAATTACATAATATTGAAGTAAAAAAAAAACACTTAATAGTAAGTAGGTATTCCAATTTGCGTACCCCGAGTATTGTTTTCCAGGCATTATTATTCCCAAAATCGTCTAGATCGTCCGTTCTGTTGAAACTGTAATCTTTGCCCGTCAATGAGCTTAGATTTATTTCGGACAAACAATACTGTCCTATTACCGGATGACGCACGTCCACGCATTCGTCGTAAATTCCCATGTGGTATCGGTTGCCCGCTAATATTCCCGTAATCCCGTTGGATATCGGTTCCAGGACTCAGCCACTGAAAAAAATACAATGGTTCAACCACACCTAAAATTATCAGATTCCTTTACGATATTGCATGTATCATGAGTCGTGACTTATGAGTTTGCGTACTATAATATTATATAATAAGTGCGCCATGTCAGAACGTCGTTGTTTTTTTTTTTTGTTCGTTATTTAATTGAGGATTTAAAATATACTACATTGCTACCTAGTCCAATTGTTTACAAAACTATAGGTATTCCTCGACAGTAATGTTGTTGTCGTGTTCCATGTGTTTAAAAAATTATTATTGGTATCCGTAATCATAAGTAGCAACAATATACTTTTATAAAAATAAATTTAAAAGCTTATAATAATAGTAATCACTAATCATCATAATCAACTTTGCTCCCGGGTAGAAAGGGAGTCAATTTTTCACAAAAAAATTTTTTCAGCAGATGTAAAGCTTAATTTTTGTTGATTTTTTTGGTACATTTGGCATTAGTCAGTGACGAATATTACTCATATCATTGAAGAAATAAATAGGGCATATCTAAACATAACCGGAAAGGCGTATGATGATTTATGCTTGGACAAAAAGACATAATATGTCAAAATAAGTGAAATCAAAAAGACATAAGTCGTGGAAAAATATAGGGCTTAAGTCAGAACAAGTGAAAACAAAAGGGCATAAAATGTGAAAAAATGGCGTAAGTCAGAACAAGTGAAATCAAAAGGGCATTAATCGTGGACAAAAAGGGCATAAGTCAGAAAATGTGAGATTCAAATGGCATACAGATAAATCTATACATAATGATAAATTCAAGAATTTTAAGTCATAAATGTAATTAGAATATGATTAATATACATAAATGATTTCTATAATATTCGTGGTTGTAACACTTAAACGTGTAGTTTTTCTTATACAATGATATTATATCATTCAAATGTAACACCATCCATTACAGTGACCCACATGTAACCTACTGTAAAGCAGAACGGCACCCAATTGCCCATTTATTTTTCAATATTGATTATTATTTATTTATTAATTCATTATTATTTATTTATTTATTTATTATTTATGAATTGATATAAACGCCAATCGGCTTTTACATATAAATAGTATGATAAATATATAGAAAGGTAATTATCATATGACATTAGATGACTTAAGTGTTGTAGATAACAATGTGTTAATACAATAAATCTATAGGTATATTTGATATTTTTCAATACTGGCTATAACAGCATATTAAAATAGTTATAAAATATTTACTTTAAAATGATCCATTGTAAAATCTTAATACAAACAGTTTTAACTATGTAGGCACAGTCACTATTAACTAAAGACTATTAATAAATACCTTATGATCAAAAATCGTAATTCGTAACTATGTATTGGACACAACGGACAAAGCAGGTCATAGGTGTTCTAAACTTAATAACATGTATGTTTAGAACATTTTAAATAAGGAAAGCCTAAACATGAATAATGAGGTTAAAAGACACAAAATAATTTTAAAAATTATGAAGTAGAGGGTACCACTTTGCTGTATAGTAGTTGTCGAGCATGTCATTGTGATGGATATGTTGTATATGAATTCAATGATAAATCTTTTTTGGTAAAAATTTAAAGTTTTACAGTTATAAACTTATTCCTGAACGAATAATCACATAATATAAAATCGATTTTGTCCAAAGAAGCGTTGCGTAAATATTCCCTTTTTCTCACTGCAGTTTTTCATTAGTTCTCCCCGATTATTATTAAAAGTAGGTAGGTATTGTGAATTATTTACTTTACTTTTTTGTATATACTACAATAATCGTTGCCTTTGTACAAGTACTAAAATGTTTGGTAATTTTACAGTAAAATCGGAGAGGGTACTCACTTCTGACCGCCCAACTGGTGTGGTTCCGCAAATGTCTGTCGTACATGTCGGATTGGGTCTGGCAAGCAGCGCTACCGACGTGCTGAATTCTGAAATTGGAGAGCGCCCGGTAAAACAGCTCAGATATCCAGGGCCCCGGCAGATCATTCGCTATTGCCACTGCGGAAATTCGGTCGACTTGATCGTCCACGATTACCATTGCAGGGGTTTCGTCGACTTGACACTCCTTCACCTGACTTGTTTCGTTGACTTGACAGTTGGACGATTGGGAGGCCAACAAAAGCGCCAGCAGTCCGACGACGATCACGTCTGACATTTTAATCCCTTTATTATACAATTTATTTCTTCTGGACATAGTCGTTAATCTTTAATAAATCTTTAATCTATAATATATTTGCAAGAACTCTTAGAATACACCAAATTATTATACTACGATTTTCGTCCAAGCAACTGCTGAGGACTGTTTGGATTTCTTTAATAAAAAAAACCAAACCAGTGGCGACTGAATGATAGGAAGTCTGGAAGTGCAATAGTGGCATCGATCGATCGATCAGTAGTGAATTAAAATTTTAAATTAATAAAGATATTATACTCTTCTCGTCCACTTGTAGTTATAAAATACCTCATTACTCATAAGTATTGTATCACTGATTGCTATTTGCTTGGCACTGGTATAATAGATGAGTGATGCAGGGTCCAACGGAAATAATGCCCTCCCAGGTTAATTGGTTGCATTTATGTTGATATAGAAAGTTGAGCACAATTTACATAATATTATAATATATTATTGAGTTATATAATCTTATTATAATGCAGGTCAGGTTAGGTTAGGTTGGATTCACCCAGATCACCGAGATCTTAATGATCACCCCTTTTTTCTTCAATAATGCTGTTATTCAAAATCTGATTTCTAGAATTTTCAAATATGCTTAATGACTAAATTTTTAGATTCTTGAGATTTTTTTGTATTACTTATAAAGAGAATACTGTGGAGTTTTCTACTGTAAATTATTTAATGGATAATTTTTCTGAAAATATTAAAATATAATAACATATAAAAGTATCAAAATCAAAATTTATACGATTAGTATTTGAGTTATTTAATTTAACTTTATGTAGGTTTTTAAATTCAAGGGCGATTTTAATGGGGGGTTGACACCCCCAAATGTCGCAACTGTAAGTACTAGACTGCAATTTTCAGAATTCGCAAAATGTAATATATTATGAGATCATTGAAACTTGAAACTTCCATATTATTAACAAGTAAAACTAATACGTATTAACATATTATAGTTTACTATTAAGAAATATACTTAATTATTTTCGGCAGTCAAAGATTAGGTAAGTGCCCAGAAGCGCCTCGCCTATATTATTGGGTTCATGTAATAAAATTGTTTTCACTAATATAATGCCTAAAAATAGGAATTGAAAATAATTCAAAAAATACCGATGTTATAATATAATAAATCTTTACCAAAGCTTTAAATCCAACTTTTTTTAGATTCTGAGAGGAGCGATGAATGTATTCGTTTTACAATGTGTGTTTTTTTTTTGTCTGTCATCACCCTTTAGGTCAGTTAAAATGCTTAGATTTTCCTCCAACAGTATTTTTTCTGATAGGAAAGTGAATCTAGTTGGTACTTTGGGTGGTTAAAAGTAAAAATTCCAAATAGTTTTCAAGAGCGCTGTGAAAAACAAAAGAAAAATTTGAGAAAACTATAATTTTTAGGTAAAATGTCTACAAGAATCCAATTTAATTTTTATGAGCACTTGAAGTTCATATTTTTACAACATTGGATATTCACTCGATTTATCATGTAGCAATTTTCTTATTTTGTTGTAATTCAAAAACGAATAACTGTAGACACATGAACATTTCACCAAATATTTATATTTTCATTTTCTATACACCATACAATTTTCAAAATATTTTGACTCTTTTTGAGCTGTTTACAGACAATTGTATTTGTAGGGGTCAAAAAAAGTGAGAAATGAATACAAGGCTAATGATATATTATAAAATAAATAAATATATTATTACAATAGCAGATTAAAAATATTAATAATTTTCACTATTTTTTTTATAATCATTATAACTGCGTATGATTATTATACTAAATGTTATTTATTAGTTGTACCCACTGATTTATAGTTATACTGATCAAACATATTTATATAATATAGTATTCGCTGTACTCATCACGAATTATTAGATTTTTTTTTTTTTAATACTACGTGTATTTTAGACCTTTGGATAGTTTAAATAATAATACCCCAGGTCATTAAAAAAAAAATTACTACTTACACTTTGGATGTAAATAGGAGTAGCCTTAGTGGAGAGCTATAACTACTTGGTATTAATTTTTGTATCATGTGTTGGCCACAAACACAATATAAAGAAACGTACACAAACAAGTTATTCATATTTAATATTATAATAAACTAGCCGACCCTTCACAGCTTCGCTCGTGATTGGTTGTTTACTTTGCCTTCGGAAGGTAATATGTATAATTTTTTATTCAAATTTTATCGTTTAATGTGATCGTCAAGTAAATATACAAAACGGTTAATGAAAACGTATTTAAATGTTTCTCAGACCACAGATCGACAGATCTGAAGGCTGAAATATTTTAATGCACCTGTTTACACATTTTTGTCAACACCATCAAGCTTTATAGAAAAGTTATTGAGTCCAAGACCCAAGTGACGATAAAGAATTAAGTATGTTGATATAATTCTTGGTCGGCGCATAAGTAAGTTAATCTAGAGATGCCTAAACCAAGTTAGATGATTTTATGCATTTTGTAAAATGTATTTATTTAATATTGTCGTCCCCTCACCATTTCATCTCCACACCAAATATATCACTCACTATCGCTGGCTGGCATCACACACACAAAATAAACACTTTGTTCCAGGTCTGTAAAAAAAATGTTATGAATGAGTTTCAGGATATTTGAAAAAGGTTCAATAGGAATAGTGAGTGGTAGGAGACTTAGAAATAAAACTTTGGTAATCCCTAAATAATAATAAATATAATCTATATGACTCAAACTCTGTTCAATTCGTTATTTAATATTCGGTTTATGGTGTTCAAAATTTATCTTAACTTTTCTGTTGCTTGGAATAAAAATTCTGATTCGCAGTAGTATATCATCAGGTAGACAATCTACCTGCTATAGATCAAGGGCCCAAGGCTGTTTGTTCGTAACTTTATTTAACTCTAAAGAATCAAAATTATACCAAGTATGTCACTGAACTCTTCCTAAACGGCTGGACTAATTGTGAATGCCGAGTCTGTCCACCAATATTTTCTCCTCTTCCACGAATACGTGGCATTGTTTTATGTACGGAACTTATATGTGAGTATAATACGCCCAATATTTACCTAATTGCGATACATATAATATCAAAACACAGCATACAAAAAAAATAATTGCATTGAATGAATACGCTGATTTTACGGCAACCAATAATTATTATTATAATAATAGCTTTAAACCCCATGGCGACCATTTATAAACAAAAATGTCCACCTTAAATCTCTAAATTCCCGTTTGAGCATATACCCTGGTTGGACCTAGGGGGGGGGGGGATTTTTAGCTTATGTGTTATTCTGATGTATAAGCTATAGGTATTATTGAACAGTTTCATTAAAATCCATTCAGTAGTTTTTACGTGAAAGAGTAACAAAGAAACAAACTTTCTCGTTTATAATATTAGTAGGATATTGACAAAAAATAATAATACAAATCAACAAACATGCCCGATTAAAAAATAGCAACCAATATAATATAATACGCACTGTTTTGCCACTGTTGTATTTTTTACTTCCAGATTTCCTACTTTTCCGGTAGATTTTCCTAAAATTTTCTTTCGTTGAAATCTTCTCTTGGCAATTACGAACATCTTAAAAAAAATTTGAGCCAAATCGGTTCAGCTGCTCTCGAGATTTTCACTTAGCAACACATTCAGCGATTCATTTTATATTATAGATAAAAATATGATAAATATAATAATAATAATATATAGTTATAATATTAGGAGTTTAGGACAGTGTTGAATTTTAAATAAGAATCAGTGGGATATACCAGAAGCCTAGCTTGTCTTTCCAGAGTCTGAGATACACTAAAATTCAACGCTATAGTAAGCCGAAAATGTGAGAATGCCGTGCTGCGACAGAATTTAAAATTTGATATTAAAACCTATTCTACGTTAAATTTGATATTTATTTATATTAAATTATGTTTTATTTATGTATAAATAACTAAAAATGTAGTTATACGAGAGACAATAGTGCAGTTTTTGCTTTACCGATCTATGTAAATTGCAATATTATTGTAGTCGACCGGCGTTAGCGGGTTCTCGCTTGCGATGTGAATTAGGCCTACAGAGGACAATAAAAAAAAAACGTGACAAGTGTAATAGGAACCTCATGCTCCTAAACAACGTGGTCGATGTGATATAATATCGTTTAACAAGCATAGGTGGTGTGGAAACTTACTCGACGCTGCAGTCATCCAGCATCCTATACATTGAGTATATTGAAGTAATATAGATAACACAAAATAATATTAAGTTAAAAACTTATATAACATAAAGCCATGGTAGAGTCGTAGAGATTAAATAAATATACTAATGGAGCGATGCAGATCACAGGTGGTTTGAGCGAAAATTTACAAAACTTCGGGGGCTGGATAAAATGTTTGCACGTTTCCTTCATGACAAAATCACATTTAAAAAATGATTTTTTCTAAACAAGTGCGGCGCCCGCGCCATTTGTAAGACGGGTAGGTATGCAAAAAAATTGAAAAACAAATATTTTTTAATACATGATACCAGATACTTATGATTAAAATAGTATATTCAATAATCAATACACTTAAATAACAAATTATTAATAAAGAGACAATGTCAACAATGTCACACTCATTGGCAGTCTTTCATCCAGCAAAAGATTAAGATAAGAATATGTCATTATCCTGTGTTCAAAGTTATTTCGCCAACTGATAATATAATAATATTATGACTATTGTTACACAAAGAATTAATTACTACGTAGCTGTGACCTGTTTTGTACAACACATTAAATTAGCTAAAGATTATTAATTCATAATAATATTATGTTATAGTTAACAATCGAAGTACCTACATATTTTATTCCTTATTATACAATATATACTATATAGGAAGTACAACATTTTTGTATTTATTGATAATTTTTACTTAAAAATAATTAAAATATAATGGAAAATGTCTTTTATTTTTTGGGGGTGCAAATTTTAAACTTAGGGGTGTACAAGTCTCCTGATCATATCCCTAGGTGTGTCAATGCCCATTGCATTTTTATAAAAA